AGGCACCAGTGACCCACGCGACCCTGAAAAGGAAGAAGCGTGTACAGAAAATGGATGGATGGATGGATGGATAATTATTATTATTTATCATAATAAATTATTATTAATAATTATCACGAGGAGTCTTTAACATTATGTAATCAAGCAGTCAAATATTCACATATATGTACATTTTTTACTATGGTAACTGAAGGTGAGCTGTGTAAATATATGTTTGCATCAAACAAGTAGCTGTTTGTGTTGCTCTGTAGCCCTGAAGCAGCTCTCAGGCTCAAAAAGTATGATGACCCCTGTCCAGTGCTGGACAAAGTACTCAACTCTAGTACTTGAGTAAAACTATTGATACTAAGGGTCAAATCTACTCAACTACAAGTAAAAGTTACTCCGTCAAAAATCTACTCAAGTTAAAGTACTGAAGTACTTACTTTTGAAAATACGTATGTATTCAAAAGTACATGCATTTAAAAGTATTCAAGTATTCTAAAGTACATGCATTTAAAAGTACTCAAATATTCTAAAGTACATGCATTTAAACATACTCAAGTACTCAAAAGTACATGCATTGAAAAGTACTCAAGTATTCTAAAGTACATGCATTTAAAAGTACTCAAGTACTCAAAAGTACATGCATTTAAAAGTACTCAAGTATTCAAAAGTACATGCATTTAAAAGTACTCAAGTATTCAAAAGTACATGCATTTAAAAGTACTCAAGTATTCTAAAGTACATGCATTTAAAAGTACTCAAGTATTCTAAAGTACATGCATTTAAAAGTACTCAAGTATTCTAAAGTACATGCATTTTAAAGTACTCAAGTATTCTAAAGTACATGCATTTTAAAGTACTCAAGTATTCAAAAGTACAAATTACATTTTCTACTATCAACACATTGCTGTGCTGTTTTCAGAGTGAGTTAACAGAACCTTGTAGCTCTCACTGTTAAAACTGATGGAAGCAGCGGACTCAGAGGATGTTCATTCAGTTGTTTAATTTTGTAGAAAAAAAGCAGATCACAGACATGACACAAAACTAAAGTCATTTCAAATGGCAACTTTATGGCTTTCAGAAACACTAAAATAAATCAAGAAAACAAAAATGATGTAGTCAGTAACGTTAATGTATTAGACCAAGCATACATAATTATTTGCCAGGTGTTATAGAAACACTCTGCTACAAATTCTACACCACCTGTAAAGACTTCAGCACAAAAATACAATAAAGTGAGTGGTGTGTTCTTAAATGCAGAAATACAGTTTATCTGCAGTGAATCCAGAAGATGTTTAAACTGATAGGAACTTTTTTTCAGTCCTAAAATCTCAAACATGGAGCTGAGATATGATCATGGGTGTGCTGGTTTCTATATTCTCTTCAACCCTCTCCACTGCTGGGTTCTGTTTGAAATGAAGGTGGAGCTCAGGCTCAGCTCGTCACTGTTAATGAAGATGATGTAATTCCCAGTCTATCCTAGATGTGAGCCACGACTGTGATTGGTTTCCCATGAGGAGCATAGTGTGGCCAGTTGCATTTCAAGAAAGAAAACAGCAACAGCTGCTTACAAAACTATGCTGAACCAAAACTAAAAGCTTCCTAGAAATGCAGTGGAGTCAAAAGTACAATATTTGCCTTTGAAATGTAGTGGAGTGAAAGTCATAAGTACCCCAAAAAATAATTACTCAAGTAAAGATACTCAAAAAAATGTACTTAAGTACAGTACTCAAGTAAATGTACTCCACTACTGTCCACCACTGCCCCTGTCCTACAACAATACTCACAATTAGTGCTTTTGGTTTTAGAGATTAGAACAGATACTCTCTGCTGGTGCTACAACTTTTTGTTGTGTGCTACAAAACCACCAGCCTCTGTAGCACTGGTGCTAAGAGCTAAACAAGTCAACACACAGCCTGTGAGGTGTGTTGAAAAGCAGTGGTGGACAGTAACAAAGTACTTTTACTTTATTACTGTAATTAAGTACATTTTTTGAGTATCTGTACTTTACTTGAGTAGTTATTTATTTGGGAACTTTTTACTTTTACTCCACTACAT